CAGTGACTAGCAGTCACAGCTTGCGCTTCAGCGTCGAACTAGCAGTTCATCACTGTAGACTAGCAGTCACAGCTTGCGCTGAGAAATTTATAAGTGTAGACTAAAAAAATTTAAAGTTAGTTTTTCTGATAGCATTCAATAACACTATATCCTTACACATATTTCTAGTTTCCTGTGATTTTCTTTCGCGTATAATGCTAACTCTAAAAAAAAATATAATTTTTATCTATAAAATTTTGGAGGACGATTTAAAACAGTAATGATTTTTATTATAAATCCAAAACTTACTGCCCGATATTTAGATTTGAAGCGAAACTATCCCTATTCAGTCGGGTGATCAAATCTAAAATCAAAATAATATATAAAATAATATATAAAACAAAGAAGCGTCGAACTAGCAGTTTATCACAGTGACTAGCAGTCACAGCTTGCGCTTCAGCATCGAACTAGCAGTTCATCACTGAGACTAGCAGTCACAGCTTGCGCCGAGAAATTTATAAGTGTAGACTAAAAAAAATTTAAAGTTAGTTTTCCGATGACATTCAATACACTATATACTTACTCCATTTTTAATTTCCTGAAATTTTTTTATTTGCACGCGTCCAATTTCGATTTTATGAACAGTGCACAGTGAAGCTCGTAAAATTAATTGAGGCACAGATTCCACGAGAGCTAGGTGAAAAAGCACAAAAGCTAGCAGAACGTAATAAAAAGAAAGCAGCCTTCAGCCAAACTGGGCAAGAAGTTAACAAGAAAACAATCCTTTATTTTCGCGAGTGCAGTAATACAAACTCCTAAAAAGAAAACAGCCAATCAGAGGGTTTGTGGTCCCGACATAAAATCCGAATTGGAAACTTAGCTAATAAATTCGTACCACCCTAAGGATTTAGATGATCACGAGTTTTAGATTATTATATATACGTATCGATATTATTTGACATAACGATAATACATATATATAATTATAAATTCAAAACTTTAAAATTTACTAACTATATTACGTAGTAATTGAACATTGATATAAACGCACGTAATCAACCGCCATCCCGACGAATAATTCGGGATAAATTCTTAGGGTGGTCCACGAATTTTGAAATTAGCTGTAATAGAACCCTAACAAACTTCTCGCAAGATTTCTCGCAAGATTTCTCGCAAGATTTAGTTATATACTTAAATAACAATATGCTTTATTACTTTGTTACTGTGACCTTTGTAAGATTAAGTGTACGATCGGATGAATCAGCCGGGATGATCCGGATCATCCAATTTGCATTTCTCCGATTGGTTATTTCCTTATGCAAGTTATCATGTGATGGAAAATATCATATATATAATCCTCCTTTGTTTACGTCTTTTTTCATTGTTAGATAATTTTTTCAGATTTATTCACCTTATTCAACGCATCATGAGTATGTGGTCACATTATTATTGTAGTTTTTTAAAGTTTATGCATATGAACGAAAACCAACTTGATGAACTTAATATGTTATCACTCACAAAGTCAAAATCTACAACTGCTTTAAAAGATTCCTGTGATAATACCAACAACATCGAAATCGTGACCGATAGCGAATCAACTGTAACAAACTATAGTAATGTGGGAACTGTGGGTTCTGTATCAGAAAGTGAAATCGTGAAACGAAATCAGGAAATTCATTCGTCAACTAATTGTAAAGAAATCGTTAAACGAGACCAAGAAACCCAGACTACTTCGTCATCAAATGATTGTAGAGAAATCGTGATAAGAAATCCACAAACACCAACTGACATATCGTTTTCCCACGTGGTCATTAATGGTTCGTCCAGAAATATAAGGAGAGGTAGAAATTTTCGAAGAAAATGGTCCGAACATGAACTAAAGGCATTAGAAGCTGGGATGGAAGAATTTGGAACTAGTTGGTCAAAAATATATGACAAATACGGAAACGACTATGGTATTTTACGTAATCGTAGTCAAATTCAACTAAAAGATAAAGCTCGTAACGAGAAACTTCGTAGAAAAAGGTGTGGAATCGAAATAGGTGTTTTCGAACTTGCTTCGGGTGATGTGGACCTGGATGAATAGAGACGCGACTCATCCCTTTTTTTTGAATATGAAATTATTACAAATTATTATTTGGTTTGGTTTAGTAATCGGATCTCTACTTCATTTGAATAATAAAAAAAAATCGTATTATGCACATTTGGTACACAAAATTTGTATGTAGATACAAAATTTGTAGGTAGGCACAAAATTTGTAGGTAGGCACAAATTTGTAGGTAGGCACAAAATTTGTAGGTAGGCACAAAATTTGTCAAATTTGTAGGTAGGCACAAAGTTTGTAGGTAGTCACAAATTTGTAGGATGAAAGCATATAAGAATGTATATACCGATACCTAAGAGTATCATATAATAGCATAATAAAGCAATTATTGATTTCTATCAACATAACTTTTTCTTTTAGTATAAAAAATGGTTTTAAATACCCAGTTTTTGAAACTGTTTATTTGGGATCTCTTGTAGTATGGGTGACACCTATGATAAATATATTGATATTTTATTAATAACCTATACTGCAAGAGATCCAAAGTTATGAAAAGTCGTTTTTAAGGATCTAAATTTTCATTATTTTTTAATTTAGGACTTCAGTTTTGGTTCTATAATAGTGTTATAGTTATTGTACTAACACTAAAATAATACAAACGCGTAAGTACGCGTATGTACGTGTGCGTAGTGCTTGCGTATGCGCAGAGCCAATGAAAACCAAGTTTAAAAATTTAAGTTTTCTACCATCCCTACTTTTTAAATATCAATCTCTTGCTAATATAGTAAAATTAAAATTTTGCTATCACTATGGAAATTGATATTCATGCATTAAGTTGTTCAGAAAGTCAAGATACATGTATTCTGAAAGTTTCATCTAGATTGGAAACGGATTTCGCGAAATAACGCACAGGGTGTAATTTCGATTTTTGGCCTAAATTTCAGTAAGCTTAATTCGTGCCATTGTTCGAAATAACGCGTTATTTCGCGAAACTACGTTTTTGTGTATTACTATCATGCGAAAAAAATAAAGTCTAAAATTTGCTTCACATAATCGTAATCGGATAAATTTGGATAAAAAATTTTTATTATTCAAAAAAGAAATCTATATTATTCGTTTTGATTGTTTCAACTCATGCTTTACCAATTTTTAGTAAAACTCTTTTTGTTCGTGTGTCTAAAAAAATATTATATTATATATACAAATTAATTCTATTTTACAGTGCCTAAAATTTTTTCAATTGTTTAATTCAGTCGGTATTAAGATAGTTTTGGCCCATGACCAACATAATTCAACCCAAAATTATGTATTCAAGAAAAGTCACACTATCCGATATATTAGTAAAAAAAAATTTTTCAAATAACAATATCATTACAGCGAATTATGTTGATTGTATTAGAATTTGAAAAAAGATATATACAGAAAATTTTTATTACGTTCATAACGATAGCTGGAGTAATATGTATAATGCAAATTTTATTATGTTCATAATGGTAGCTGGAGTAATATGTATAATACTATACTATAGACAAGTTTTATTGGGCATAAAAATTGGTAAAATTTTGGAAAATTTTGGAATCTTGGGATTAGGTAGAAAATTTTGGAAAATTTTATTTCCAAAATGTTCCGTGGTCCTGCTATGAACGTAATGATATCTGTTTTCAAAAAGATGTGAGCAAATAACTATATCACGGGAAATTCACGAATTTCCAAAACTTTCAAAGCCAGCTCTAGATTCCCCACATAGTTACGTATGTGGAAATCGTTGTTCACACCTTTTTGAAAACAGCTGTGAACATATTTGGTTGCACAGATAATGTATATGAGAGAATTCCCGTCTTATAAAGCACATACCGATAAGCCCACGCCTCCTCCTGATTTTTGAAATCATAGGTGCATAGCTATGATTAATTTTATGGACATAACTAATGATGAAAAGCTTCAAGGTCAGAATCCCTCAGAGTTCTATGCGTACCGACATCTAGAACGTAATTCCCCAGCGGATAAAGTTGATCGTTATTTTGTGATATTTGGAGGTGGAAAACATGCGTGTCCTGGTAGACATTTGGCTGTTAAAGAGATCAAAATGATTTTACACAATATTATGTTAAAATATAATATTAGGACCGAATCTGGAAATGTGTTACCTTATAAATTTACGGGACCTCTTATTGATGACTCGAGAGGTGATAGGGTTATATTTGAAAAAAGAATGGATATTATTAATTAAAAGTTAATATAAAGATTATACAATACGTACTTCTTTATAGTCATCTCTTTATTTAAATTAATCAAATTTGAGTGCTGCCAAGGAAAAACCTATAAGTACGGTTATGGTATTTACACTTATCTCAAAAACTAGCTAATCAATCTGTGCAGAGTGTTTTAAGTAAAAATGTTTTACTCCTCAAAAACCCTTTCTAAACATTAATTCTAACCCTAAATACTAACCCTACTGTGAAAAATTTTGTGTTAAAAGTTTATATACAAACTTATAAAAACTTAGAAAAATCTATAAAATGTAAGAAAAATATATGATAGGTGCCAAACCACCATGGCTGCGTTTTTATAATAAATGTTTTATATACAAAAATTAATTAACAATTCACATAGAAACGATAGTATTTTTATATAGTTTTTATAGCCAATTACTATATAATATCGAAAGGTTTTTTTTTTCTTCTATAATGATAAAAATTTGAGTGTTGCTAACTTGCTCCTGGTGACGTTACCACCTTATGATTTACCGATCAGGTATAACAAAATAAATTTTTTGAAAAAAAAAATATCAATATTGTAAAATTTTATTATAAAAACTAGCTTTGGGCCATTAAGTAAAAGTTTTTAGCATCTATTTTTGCACATAAATAAGCCTATTGCTATTTATAAAGCCTGGGCTAGCCAAAACCTGGCCTACTATTAAGCCTAGCCCAACCCAGCCCACTATTAAGCCTGGCCCAACCCGGCCCACTATTTTTTAAGCCCGGTTCAAACCTGACATAATATTTTTTGGCCCAACGTGTATCCAGCCCAATTACTTACAAGCTTGAAGTTTTAATCTTGGGCCTGGCCCAACCCGGCCCAACCTATAAGTTTCTGGGCTTGGCTCAGCCCATTCCGAACCCTAATAATAATATTTAATGACACCAGTTTGAAGGTAATTTTTTTATCTAGAAGCCTTTCTGGTATTAATAACCTTGGCAATCTTGAAAAGTTGTTGTGAAATATTGGTAGAAGAGCTTTGTTATTGTATAAAGCTATATATATTTTCAACAAAATTTATTTGAAAAAATACTAAGAGCATTTTATTATAATTGTGCTTTTCAACCCGCAAAAAAATATACTGTCTAAAATACAATTTTAAAATAAAGTCAAATATATATTTAATTCAACTAGCACTATGTTGTCTAATAATTCAAATAAAACCAAAATTTTAATATTTTTATAATATTTATCAAATTATCTATTACTATTGGCTTAATTTCTTTCTAAGTGCTTTTTACTAACTTCAAAAATACAAATATTCGATAGGGCTTGGTGTTTAGCTAAGCACTTTACTTGTATTAAATATGTATTTGTATTCTATATTAAAAAAATCTTAATAGATCTTTAATATAGATTTAGATAAATTTACTAAATGTAAAGAATTTCAATAATCAAAATAAAAAATAATATGTTTTTTGGTAATTATTTTTATGATTTAGTAAACAAAAAGTAATAGATT